CTCCCAAATAATGACAAGGAGACTGAAAACTTGGCCTTTAGCTTAGGTTTGTTCCTAACTAGCTCTCATAACTTAAATTAACCCATTTATAGTAATCTATTTTCTATCACATGACGTAATTTGTCTTCCATCTTGTACTTCCCGTTTCCTCCCCATGTCCCCTGGTTATCTCCCAAGTGCCTCGCTTCAATTCTTCCTCTTCTTCCTTTCTTTCTCCAGAAATTCCACCTATCCCTCCTGCCTAGCTATTGACCATTCAGCTTTCTGGTATACCAGTCACAGCAGTACACCTTCACAGAATGTACAAATAGTCCACAACAGTGGTGGAGTGAGGGAGCAGGTAGCAGGTGGCTAGCACATCGATGGAAAACTCAAATCCTGGACTGCAAGCAGAGGCTGAGAGAACTCAGCCTGTCTCCAGTTACATCTCCTCCAAACAAGCCACACTTCCTAATCCTCCCCAAACAGTGCCCCCAGCTGAGGACCAAGTATTCGAACATATGAGCCTGTAAGTGTCATTTTCATTCAAACCACCACAATGGGCTTACTGGATGTAAGCTAGGATTTTACTTTCACAGAGCTTACCTTGCTGTGGACTGAGCAGAGGCTTATCATCATTCATCTTCTTTGTATGGCATTTAGTCAATTCTTTTTACCTTGTCTTTTTCTCCTCTTCCATCCCCTGCCCACTTCCCTTTTTTGAGACAGAGTCCCATTGTGTAACTATGTAGGCTTTAGTAGCCTGGAAACTCAGAGATCCATTTGGCCTTTGCCTGTGCTGTGATTAAATGCACATGACACCCCTCCTAGATTCAGCCCCAGGTTTTGTTTTATAACATAATTCTTTAATGTTTCTTTGGGAATTTCACATGTACCCCAATCCTATTCACTTCCCAGTTCCTCCGTACCCTTCCTCACCTTTGCAGCACTCCTCCCCAAGGAAACCCTCCCAAAAAAATCAATTGAAAACAAACAAACAAAAAAAAAACAAACAAAAAAACAGACAAAACAAACAAACAACCGGCCTCACCCCTCCATCACCTCTTCATTCATCCTAGTGGCACTAGGAGCTACAGTGTACCATTCAGTATATCCTTTCTTCCCAATCAGCCCCGCCCAGAAAATGCTCATTGCTAGGGTTCAAGGCCTCCAGCACACCATCATCACTGTATCCTCAAAGAGGAGCCTCCTCCAGTGAGGGGCAGAGGCAGCTCTTCCACACCCATGGTGAGGTGTGGGGCTCTCTCTCCTGAATGCAGGGTGCCAGCTCTCCCATGGCAAGGGGGGAGGTGGGAGGAGCTCTCCTATTGCAGTGTCCATCCAGGGGCAGTGCTAGCTACCCCGGGGCCAGTGGCAAGCTGAAGCCCCAGTTTTTTAAAAAGATCTTTGTTTTGATTTTTCAGATGGGGTCTCCCTATGTAGCCTGTGCTGGCTTGAAAATTGCCATGTAGCTCTGGATGGCCTCAAACTCATGATTCTCTTGTCTCTCAACATCCAGAGTGCTGGGATTACAAGTATGGACCACAATGTATGGATTACTCACTTGCATTTATTTAACTTTAATTTTAAAAAATCTTATGTGTGTGAGTGTTTTGCCTACACGTGTGTCTGTATATCATATATGTGCTTGGCGCAGTGTAATGGAAGTCAGGAGTGTGAGAGATGGAGTTAGAAAGTTCTGAGCTACAGTGTGGGTGCTGGGAATTGAACTCAGGACCTCTGAAGATCAGCCAATGCTCTTAACCGTGAGCCATCTCTCCAGCCTCCCCCATTTTAAAATTCAATGTCAGTTTATTATTAAGTCTTGAGAATTAGTTATATATTTTGACTATAGATTCTGGATAAGACATTTGCTCTATAAATACTTTCTTCTAGTCTGTGGTTTTGACTTTCTATCTTTTTTCAAGACAGAAGTCAGTCTGTAGACCAGGCTGACCTTGAATACAGAGATCAGCCTGACTCTGGCCCCCAAGGGTTGGGTTCAAAGACATGCACCACCACTGCCCGGCATCTTTTTACTTTCTTAATGGTTTTTGTATGAGTAGAACAATTTAATTTTGATGCAGTCCAATTGATCAGTTCGTCCTTTTGCGATTCACATTCTTGTGAAATCTCTTGTCAGAGCACAGGTTTTCTCCCGCTCCTTGCTTCATAGTTTCAGGTTTTATGTTGAGGTTTATGAACCATTTTGGTTCACTTTTGTGTTTGGTACAGATGTGAACTGAGGTCCCTTAGCTAATAAGAAAATGCAAATTGCTGGGTGGTGGTGTGCACACCTTTATTCCCAGCACTTGGGAGGTAGAGGCAGGCAGATCTCAGTGAGTTCTAGGCCAGCCTGGTCTACAAAGTGAGTTCCAGGACAGCCATAAGTGAGAAAAAAAAAAAAAAAAAGAAGCTAATTATAGTAACAGTAACACTGTAGCAATGTTATTCCAGTATATGCTTATCAGGATGGCTACCAGTAAAAGAAAGGCTGCACTATGCAGTTGTTGCCTGATGAGCATGCAATGGATCTGGGTGAGGCTCTCAGGCACTGCCCATGGGAATGAAGAAACATGTAGAGAAATGGTTGGGCAGATTCTTAAAAGACACAAATATACAACTGTAGGAAACAGCCCCTGGACTCCTAGGTTTTATCTATGAGAAATGAAAGCACACAGAAACTTAGTTGTGTGCATGTTTGGTCCGGTTTTACTGTAAAACCAAGAAAAACAACCAAATCGACCCATATGGGCCTGTGAAAGGATAAACAAGTGGTGGCTCCCATGCAATGGAGCTCAGCTCGGTAATAAGAGGGAGCGAGGCACTGTACATATAATAAAAGGGAGCGAGACGTGGTACATATAATAAAAGGGAGTGAGGCACTGTACATATAATAAAAGGGAGCGAAGCATGGTGCATATAATAAAAGGGAGCGAGGCACTGTACATATAATAAAAGGGAGCGAGGCACTGTACATATAATAAAAGGGAGTGAGGCACAGTACATATAATAAAAGGGAGTGAGGCACAGTACATATAATAAAAGGGAGTGAGGCACAGTACATATAATAAAAGGGAGTGAGGCACAGTACATATAATAAAAGGGAGTGAGGCACAGTACATATAATAAAAGGGAGTGAGGCATGGTACATATAATAAAAGGGAGCGAGGCACTGTACATATAATAAAAGGGAGCGAGGCACTGTACATATAATAAAATGGAGCGAGGCACTGGTACATATAATAAAAGGGAGCGAGGCACTGTACATATAATAAAAGGGAGCGAGGCACTGTACATATAATAAAAGGGGGTGAGGCATGGTACATATAATAAAAGGGAGTGAGGCACTGTACATATAATAAAAGGGAGTGAGGTGCTGGTACATATAATAAAAGGGAGTGAGGCGCTGGTACATATAACCTGGAAGGGTCTAGAAATTATTCGAATCTATGAAAGATGCAAGAGAAAGGTCAAATATGTGGTGTGATTCTATTTATATAAAACTCTAGAAAACACACAGTAACTTATAGAAATAATGTAGACTAGTGGTGAGGGGACAGGTGACATACAGGGATTTGAGAGGGCTGTCAGACTTGTTATTCTGACTAATGGATTATACAGATCTTAAAACTTCAATTTGAATGTTTTTTTTTTTTAAATATCACACATGTATGTGATTATGATGTATCTTGGCCACATCCATCCCCCCACTCCCTTCCTCCAAACTTCCCATCCCCTAATTTGTATATTTGGAACATGTGCAGCCATTATGTGAATTATACTAAAGTATAGTAAAGCTGTTAAAATATGACCTGAATCACTGATAATTAGCAGGTAGAACCAATGTTATAAAAAATACTCTACCATATTACCATTTTTGTATTACTAAAATGAAATGCCAGAGGCAATTAACTTTATAAAGAGGAAGGATTTGAGTTAACAGTGCTGGGAGAGTCAGGAGCATGGAATCTGCATTGGCTGAGTTACGGTGAGGTCGTCAAAGTAAGTAAATAGTGAATGGTAGGTGGCAGTCTTAGGAGCACAAACCAGGGAAGAGGTCACAGCTTAACTCAAGAGTTGGCAGAAAGAGGATGGGTATAGTTGGGTTTGTTGCTTTTATAATATAACAATACCTCAGGACCTCTACCAGAGAAATACATCCTTGTCCTCAGTGACTTAGGTCTTCCAGACAAAGCCTTATCTTCTCACTATTCCATGATCTTCCATGGGGACCAAAGCATCTCACAATGGATACTAGGGAGCCACAAGCCACATTCAAACTACGTCACCCTTTTAAATCTCAATTTAGTCCACTTAGAATGACTGGAGATTTTAGCAAACCTCCTACAGTTCCTAGAGCTTACATGACAGCAGTAAAAAGCTTGAAAACTGGGCAGGAAGGTTTATAAGCCTCTCAACCCACCAAGGGCCTCATTCCAAACACTTCAGTATCCCAGTGATTAAAATTAAAGGGTCCCTGGGCAGGCATATCACCATACTCCACAGGGCTTCCCACGCACTCTCCCATTGTTTCTCACATCTTAAAAGCTCCCTACTCATATATCCATTTTGTACATGAGAAAACCATGCCCCAGAGAAGTTAAAGGGTTAGCTCAAGGCCCGTGTTGGCAACGGGGGTTGTGCATGCATGTTTCCGAAGAGCCTGCCTTCCCGCCATGGTCAATGCAGTTCCTTTTTAAAGCTTTCTCCCAGGATTGTCACTGTTAAGTAGAGTTATCTATGCCCAAGGCTTGTTGCTGCAGAGAGCCAGGAGTGGGAGTGGAAGGAAGCGGCTGCTAAAGCACTCAGAGTGAACTATCTGGGCAAGAGAAGCCGCATGGCTGGCTTCAGCCCACTAACGCACCCTCCCGGGGAGAAGGGAAAGGAAAGGACAGAGGGAGTTCAGAGGGACTAGAGGTCACTGTCAGCCTCCGAGGGGAGGCGGCATTTTCTCTCGGATGCAGACCCCGAACTTCTCCTAAGCCCCGCCCCCTCGTGCTCGCCCCGCCCCACCTCGGCGCGCGCAACTGAAAGTGAAAGCGTTCGACCTCTCGGCGCTCGCTCTCTCCGGTCTGGCCGCCCGCGCCGTCCTGGTTTCCGTGCTGCAGTCCCGGTGGCGGGCGGGATGGAGGAGCCGCATGCCGTCGCGGGCGCGGACGTGTCGCTTCACAACTTCAGCGCGAGGCTGTTGGAGCAGCTCGTCCACTTCCACGTCATGCGGCTGACGGACTCGCTTTTCCTGTGGGTGGGAGCAACGCCGCATCTGCGCAACCTCGCAGTGGCCATGTGCAGCCGCTACGTGAGTGTGGGCGGGGCCTGGGCAGGAAGGGGGTGGGCCAGGAACTTGGCGGGGACATGGGGGCGGGGCCTAGGCCGAAGGCCCTGGTGGGAGCGTTCCGGGTGCTGGGTGGCAAGTGGGGACCGCAGGGGAGGGTCTGGAACGGGAAAGAGAGAGACTAGTAGGAGTGAGGCTGGCCGCGTGCATCCCTGAGAGGGGTTCTTGAGGGGCTTCTGCGCATCCTCAGGTCTTCCCCTGGATACCTCGGGCTGGAGTCCCCTAGGCCTGCTTCTTGACTGGTGCAAACTTGCATCACCCTAAAGGACACTCAGCCCAGCCCCTGAGCTCTGAGCCCACCAGAACCCAAGCTCTCCTTGCACCAGCATCCCGAATGTGTGTGTGTGTGTGCTTGCCATCGGCCAGGTGTTTTGTTTGTTTGTTGGCCATACCGTTTAAAGTTTGCAATACTTTTTGTTTTCTAAACTTGGAGCTTAGATGTGAATGTCGGATAGGTACTTGACCGACAGACTCAAGACAAACTTCCTTTCCCCTTCACTGTTGGTCCCACAGCCTTTCTCCTCTGTGTTGGCAACCCCACTTATTCTGAGGGCTATCTGGTTGTCCTTGCCCCTTCTCTCACGATTCATGTGTCCAGAGTCGTTAAATCCTGGGTGCTTCTGTCACTGAAAACATGAGCTAGTGTGACTCCCCCTTCTTGTCTGTCACCCAAAACTTAAAACCTCTCTGCTTCCTCCTTGCTGTCTGCATGCCTCCCCTAAGGCTGTTCTAGCAAAGTGCCACAAATGGGGTGGGCTAAAGCACTGCGTTGTTGTTTTCTAAGTTCTGGAGAGGCCAAGTTCAAAACCTGGAGACCAAAACCGAGGGAAAACCCGTTCAATGGGGCCCTCAGCTTCAAGTGGTTTGCTGCCATCTTTGTTAGCCCTTGGCTGTTAGATGCTACACTGTGGTTTTTCTTACCACATCACATGGCTGCTTCCTCCTGCTTGTCTGTATGGATGTCTCCTCTTTTGAGAGGGCTCTTGCTCTAACACCTCCTCCTCTCAGGCCTTGATATGCTATATAAGTGCTCCAACACTGAGTGGAATCCCCAGCTTGTCTCTTCTTGGAATACACCATGCATATTGGATAAAGGCTCCCTATACTCTGATGAGCGTGTGTGTGTGTGTGTGTGTGTGTGTGTGTGTGTGTGTGTGTGTATGTATGCAAGTGTGCATGCATTTGTACCTGCATTTAGGAACATGCATGTACATATATGCATACATACAGGAAAAAAAATAAGACAGGTCAGACATTGCCATTCTTCTGCTAAAGACTCTTCAAGATGAACTCAGAATTTGATCCTGAGACTTTGGTGACCCCTACAGGGCCTGTTTTCTCTTCCTGCCCAGTCATTCCTGCAGTGCTGGCCTCCTCTGAAGTTTTAGTGTTCTAAAGTGACATTTATGTCTAGTGCCTCGTGCCTCTCAGGCTGCTCATTAAGTCATTTGGATAATGGTTGAGACTTCTTCAGGGAGTCCTAAATTGTAGCCAGTCAGACAGGACTGACTAATGTAACCACGTTTTACTAAATGTGGCCACATCTATTGATGTAGGTGGAGACTGTGCTAGCTTTTGTGCTTTGATGGCAGGACTGAACAGTTCTACTAGAGGGCTTGGGGCCACTGAAACCTAAACTATTTACAATCTGATCATTCCTAGAAAAGGTGTGCTGGTCCATGGAGGACAGTGCCTGTGTGTGTGTGTGTGTGTGTGTGGTTTTCTTTCCCTTGCTGCTAAACTTGTATGTCCACAACAAACAATAGAGAACGGAAATCACAGGATGAAGCCACTTCTCTAGCTGGTTTGTCTTGACAGCAGCAGGGGTTTTGGTACCCAGAGAGGATGATGCTGAGCCTAAGCAGCCCTTGGGGAGTGGTGGGGTGGCTTGCCTGGGATGTAAGGTATTCCTGACCTATGGCAGGGAGTCAAAGGAGGTGCTCTTTAGTAAATGTTGCCTTGAGCATGTGTCTTCTGAGAGACCAATGACCTATTTGAAAGTAACAAACTACATTAAGAACAGTAGCAAGATGGGGTTTAAATTTTTGTTTTTAGTGCAACAAACCCATCAGGTAAAGTAGATTTACTTTGGGAGGCTTAAGCGTAAGTACTGTTATGTTTTCAGCTAAATGTCCAACTCAGAGTCTGTAAACATCAGGTTTACCATTATACTTTTGTATCTTTTTCAGCTAAAAAAAGGTCAGAAATGGGTTTGCTTATTTCCTGCCTTTTAAAAAAACCTTTTCTTTTCTATGTAAATAAAGAAATTCTGAAAGTGACTTTAAGTCCTTAGGAAATGATGTGTGATTGGTTTAATTGCCTCTACCTGGATAGTATGGCAAGGGTACCAAACCCCAGAGCAAGTTAGTAGGCATTTTCCTTTTCAAACAAGCTTTCTTTTTTGGGGGGGGGGTGTTGGGTGCTGGATAGTAAACCCAAGGCCTTCTGCATGCTAGGCAAACACACTACTGTGCTATATTTTATTGCTTCCTAGCCCAAACAAGATTGGTCAACCCTTTCATAGAAGGCTTTGATTTTGCTGTTTGGAAGCCAGTGAGTCCTAGATCATGTACTAGTCTTCACAAGCCTTCAGGGAATGAGAGCTGTACTCTTGTAGGCTTTCCTGAGGGAGGCAGGACTCTGCTTCTCAGCAGAGAGCAACTGGACCAGGCACTCAGACTTCGGCACATTTCTTGCTGTGGCCCTAATGCCTTCGTTTGCTTCCATTCTGGTTGGATTGCCCTTCAGCGTTCCTTGGAGTTTGTGATACAAAAACAATCCTTTTATGTGAGATAGGTCCTAGAATCTGCTTACAGCTCCATGGATCCCATTGCAGGTGGTTTCTGTTTGCCCTGATTTTACTACCTCTTCTGTGGTGGGGTTATCTGGTTTGGCAGATGCCAGCCTCAGGGGACATTCGTATATCCTCTTCCTGCCCTGACACCCTGTGTGGAACCCAAAGTTGCCTGGCTGAGGAGCATCCACAGTATACTCCTTTTTTTCTTTTTCTTTTTAGGACCCCATTCCTGTGTGCACTTCCCTTTTTGGAGATACTTCTGACACAACTTCCACTGGCCTTGCCCAGCGCTTAGGTATGTACCTACAGCTAGTGCTTGACACCAGCCACATGTGACCCACTGTTTCATGTCCTGGGGCAAATGACCTCAGTAGTAAAGAATCTTCATATTTGGGACAACTGCCTCATTACTGTTGGAAGCAGACTTCCGTCCTTCGGGTCTTGCGATGGGACATATCTACATGTACCTGTCCCTGCTGTCTCAGTATCACCATGATCCCAGGGATCTTTTCGGAACTCCCACGTCTTTCCTGGCTCCCCCTTTGAATCTACGAACTGATTTATTTTCTTGTAGGAGAGAATGAATCTTGCCCAGGGGCAGCTGCTCACAGTGGCTCCCTGGGCCTCATGGCAATTTCTGTGGAGCCTGTGGCAGATGTCACTACTGCAGGAAGGACTTTCTCAGGCTCAGCACAGGACACTCAGAGCTTGGTGAAGGGAATGCAGAGTAGAGTAGGTGACTAAAAGAAAAGCATGAGGTGGAAGGCTCCACTCTTCCCACGTGTGCCTTTTTTCCTTTTAATTACAGTTACTCAGGTGATTCAGATAAGAGTAACCTGTGTTCCGTGGTCCCTAGCCCCAGTTGCCCATGGCTGATATGCACAGGGTGCTGTCATCAGTGTCTCAGTCTTTATGTAAGGTCCCTGAATCCAAAGGATGTGGTGGGAAAGAGCCCAGTCACCAGTTTTTAGAAGCTCATACAGCTGTTGTGTTTGGAGTTGTGCAAAGAAAAGTGTTATCACCTTGACAAGTGGGAAGGTCTGTTGCTTTCAGTCACCTACACAGGAGCAGCTAGTACACAGCCCAGGGGGAACAGCACCAATTTAGGAAGGCTCCAGACTTCTTGTGTCCTGTGGTCAGGTCAGGGAGAACAGAGGTCACAGGAGCTTTCAGTGTCCTAGCCTGGAAACAGACCTGACTCATGAGCTGTTTTGGAAACTTTCTTAGGAAGTACTTTTGAGTTTATAGGAAAGAATTTCTGCTGAGCCTATACCAAGACTTGTCGTATTTGTCCTTCCCTTTCTGTGTTTACATTTTCTCCCCTGTGAATCATGTGAAAGTCAGTGGGGGACATGATCTCCTTTGCTTCTAAGTGCTTCCTTGTGTTTCTTTAAACATACTTATGTCAAGCAGATTATTATGTGCTCGTGTTCACTTAGAGTTGAGGGAAATGTCTGTGTGGGGACAGGATGCCTCGTTGACTTGCAATGACAGTCCTTGGTAGAGAAGGGTGGCATAATTTTGTTTGGCATGTTTATTTTGTTGTTAAAGATTATATTTTTCAATGCGCATATGTGTATGTTTGAGTATGGGTTATGTTCATGGGAGTGCGGTGCCCATGGAGGCCAGACCCGAGTGCTGAATCCTCCAAAGTTGGAGTCACAAGTAGTTTTGAGCCACCCGGCACAGGTGCTAGGAACTAAACTCCAGTCTTTTGCAGGAACAGTATGTGTCCTTAGTGGCTAAGCCATCTCTTCAGGCCCTAAGGTATAACCCAGACTGGCCTCAAATTCATGATTCTCCTGCCTTCGCCTTTTCAACATAGCCTCATATGTGCCAGCAATGATTTTAATGCCAAAAAAAAAAAAAAAAAAAAAAAAAAAAGCAAAGTTGGCTGGAGAATATGAGATAGAGGCCTAATACCAGCTTTTGTACAAAGTAACTCGGTGACCTGGCATGACTGCTGGCATCTTTGAAAGGTCTGGTGCTGCACAGAGCTCAGATTAAGGACTCGCTCTGCAAAGTCCCGGGCTGCCTGGTCTCTTGGACCTGGGCAGGTATCAGTAACATGTAATAAAGCTATGGAAGATGAACGTAGATGGGTAAGAGCTGGGCTGCAGGGTTCCCGGTGGCTATGGAAGCATTGCACCACAGCTTTGCATGCAGGAGGAAATCCTGGGCTCTGACCAACTTTCAGGAATGGACCTGGAAGGTTGAGCCAAAGACACAGTGGCCCCCTTAACAATTAGACTGACCAGAACTACAGTACAGTGGGCCCCTGTGGGGAGAGGGAAGGCTCTGCCACTGCCACTGAGAAGACAGACCAAGCACTGCAGTGATTTTATGGCCCCTTTCTGGTTGGCCATCGTGGATCTCACCATCTTGTCTAAACTAGCTCTCAGATCATTGTCTAAACTAGCAAGTCCCAGACTCCCTCCTGCACCTAAGGGAATGTGATGGGGAAGGGAGAGGTGGCTGGGGCAGGGAAGCTTGTTGGGTCTTGTAGTGAGAAAGTCCGTCTGTGGCACTGACCACGCCCATTGGGGGGGTGGAGCCATGGGCGGAGTGACCTGTGGAAGGAGGTGGGGGGGGGGGGCAGGAAAGGCTTTTTTTCTGGCCTGACTCGGACAGGAGAGGATCGGGTAGAATTTCCTGGTGTTCATCTGTCTAGGTTGTAAGTTATTTCTCCCTGAATAAACATCTATTCGGCCTATTTGTTTATCCTGATCCTTATTTAACCGCGTTAGGGTCTCCCTGCCCACTCCTTGGGCTGAGCAGAACACTGGGACCCCTGAGCACATGCATGCAGCAAACTGGTAGATGGCCCAACGAAGTGCTACAAGCCATTGTAAGGCACTGTCTTCTCTGCTAACTGAACGACTGCCTCTGTCCAGATGCCCTCCTCCTTTTAAAGACAGCTTCTAACTTCCTGGATTTGGCTGGCCTAAAATATAGGGCTAGATTCCCACCTCTCTCTCATTGCTAGAATTTGGAATTACATATGTGTGCCAGTATGTCTGACTACATCCTTTCATTTATTTATGTTTTTACATCCTTAAAAAGAAAAGAAAAGAAACACACTGGGCCTGGTGTCTCACACTTTTAATCCCAGCACTTGGGAGGCAGAGGCTGTTGGAGGCCAGACTGGTCTATAGAGCTACTTCTAACAGCCAGGGCTGTTATACAGAGAAACTGTGTCTCAAAAACAAAAAACAAACAAAGCAAAACAAAAAAAAAAAAAACCAAAAAAAAAAAAAAAAAAAACCAAAAACAAAAAGTAAAGGGAAAGAACAGAGCTGGAGATGGTTGTATTTGCCTTTAATCCCAGCACTCTGTAGCAGAGGTCAATAGATTTCTGAGTTTGAGGCCATCCTGATCTGCAGAACTAGTTCCAGGACAGCCAAGGCTACACAGGGAAACATTGTCTCCAAAAACTAAAAGCCCAAAACAAAATAAAACTCAGCTTTATTGAGATGTAATTCATGAGCCATACAGTTTACCCAGCTATTGTCAGGGCAGAGGCTAGGCTGTTCTATAGGCACATCAGCTGCCCTGTCAATGGAATATTCCCCAAGATCCTTTTATCTAAAAACAAACAAGCCCCAAACAAACCAAACACACAGTCTTGAATATCTAATAAAGAAAATAATTAAAACGTCTTTGAGAGTCAGAGCCTAATTGCCTTTGATTTACAAAGGAGGATCTTGAGCCCAAAGAGGTCTCAGACTGTGGTGGAGCAGAGAAAGACCCAGGCTTGAAGGTAGTTTTGCCTCTGCCTTGCTTACACCCTCCTTCGACTGCAGGTAAGAGTTGCAGAGTGGGTGGTGGAGCATGCCTTTAACCCCAGGGCTTGGGAGGCAGAGGCAGAGTGGTCTACAGAGCTAGTTCCAGGACAGTTAGGGCTTTACACAGAGAAACCCTGTCTTGACAAAAACAACAAACGGACCAAAACCAAACCAAAACAAAAGAAAAAGTTGCAGAGGGGGACAGAGTCAGCACCCTGATGAAGCTCAGTGCATCATCCTTCAGCAGGCTTTTGTCATGGTATTGTGGCTACCCTAGCCTTACTCCTTGTTTTTCTGCCTGGAGAGGAGGGCAAGGTCACTGGACTAGAGGGAAAGATTAGTGTTCTGATAGGTGAAAATAGTTTCTTCCTGTGCCCTGGGCATGGGTGAGAGAAGAGATCAGGCCACTGTCCAGGCATTGCTGAATGAAACACTGGCTTGGGCTTGCTGCCTGCTCCTGCTCAGGGAATTGACTTCCGGATGAGGCCAAGCTTCATTTTTGCATTTCCATCATTGGTTTTAGAAAATGCACACACATGCATAAAGAAAACATTACTCCTAGAAGGAGAGTGGGAAATGATAGAGGTAGGCAGTGGCGATGGAGAATGTCAATCTTTTAATGTTTTTGAAATAACAAAATCCCCAAAGCTTTGAAGCCCAAAGCCCCATGTAAAGTAATGGTTCTCAGATACTAGTGTGAACGCTTGAGAGCTTCTGAGCATTGACTGCTAGCCCCACCCAACACTATCTTTCTACTGCGGGAGTCGGGAAGGGCTGGAGACTCTGCAGTTCATGCTAAGTAAGCTAAAGCTGCTGCTGCAGTACTAAATCTACTGCTCCAGAGGGGGCTAGATGTCCATTTGCATGTTCAGCCCTTGAGAAGTCTTCTCCAAATCCCAGTCTCATTCTAAGCACTTCCCAGCTCTAGGCAGGTTTGTGGAACATGGACTCGGGGTATTTTGGTTGTAGCTGTCAACGTGTTTTTCTCTTTTTAGCCAGGAAGACCAGTAAACAGGTGTTTGTCAGCTACAACCTCTCCAACACAGACAGTAACTTCACCTTACTCGTAGAAAACAGGATCAAGGAAGAAATGGAGACGTTTCCGGAGAAGTTCTGAGTGGCAGAAGGAAGAGTTTGTAACTTGTGTATAAACTACGCTTCAATAAACAGGTTGGGTTTTGTCTCAGGCTGCATTCATACTTTGCTTTAAAGCGTTTCTTTCCTGGGCTTTCTCCTCTCAGTGTGGGCGTTAGAGACCGATAGGCACCGGAAGAAAAGGGGCAGACAACAAACACTTCCTCACTGTTTAGTGCTAAAAAAAGGGGCGAAAGTGGAATCAGAAACAGCTTTGTTCCACACGTAAGAGTAAGAGGCACAGTGGCTATGCTGTAGGAGCGTGTGGCAGGTCCCGAGGCTCCTGTCTTGTGAACTGATAGATCAGTCTTCTGGGTGCTCTCCAAGTATTCACTCTAAGCCTTGCCTGGGCACCCTACTTGTGTTTTTAAAGCTGCATTTGAAGCTTTCTAGATTTGTGAGCTCCATGGAGTCTAGTTTTTTGGGCTGTTCTGTCTATCTGAGAAATGGCAGTAATCCTTAGTTTGCTGGGTTAAGTGTGTAGAAATGCTTTGCAAGCTGTAAAGTGTGTGATGGGTGTCAGTGTTGGCTTTAACTTCGTTTTATGGACACCAGTGCCTCAGGCCCCTTTGCTCTTACTGTCTGTCACCTTGACTTTCCTTTCTCCCTAGTCCCTGCCCTTTGGCCATTTTTAATCCTTAGCATTTTATTGGCTACTGCTTGGGCTCTAATAGTGATTTTTCCACCTGAGGTTTATGTGCTGAGAACCATGTTTTGACAAAAATGACCGCCACCGCTAAAGAGCTTTGTAATCCTTGGGATCTCCTGGACCCTCTTGCATTGAGAGGTAGACAGTCCAGGACCTATTGTTTTGTACAGTGCCAAGAGTTTTGCACTGAGCCAGCAGGGGCGGGAATAAGGGCATTTAAGAATAACAATGTCGGTGGTCCGAGGGTTGCCTCCTACATGGCTTTGCTTGCCAACCTCTGAGGCCTCTCCAGTGTTTCTGCAGTGTGGGAAGCCCAGTGGACAGCTCTCTGGGACAGAATAGTAAGTAACACACAATCAGCTATGGAGAGAAGAGTTTGGTATAAACGCTTTATTAAAGAAATATTGATTTCTTGTTAAAAAATACTACAGTAGAGAAGAGAGTTTTGGATTACCAGTCTTTCCTCAGAGAATCACAGTGTAGAGTCATTCCTCGACCTCTCTAGGAATCCTCAGGCCATGGATTAGCAGAACACAGATGAGATAAAAAAAAAAAAAAAAAAATCCCTCTTCAATGTGCTGAACTCTCAGATGGTTTGAGAATCACATAAACATTTAAGTTGAATACGGTCTCACCCTCTGACTACCTTCTAAGACTAGGACTCTTCAAGCAGAAGAGAGGCCCCACCGTCCCCAGGGCAAGTGAAGCCATTGACAGAAGAAGCCTTGAAAGTAGTGACGCAGAGAGGTCTGGTCAACACGGAGGGTTTTGTTACTCGTCCTCAGTGGTAGTGAAATGCCCTTGTGCATACCAGCAGGTGAGGCAGGAAGACATTCCAGAGGAAATCTGTTAATGGGGCAACATTTTTATTTCTGTACATTTACATACAAATTTTCCCCAAAGGTACAACAGATGCGACACCATGCAGACACGCAGCTGTGAATGGCAGTTCAGAGCTCAGCATAACTTTGTGCTGTGAACAGGTACCACCCCCATCGACACGAATAGTCACGCGGCTCCTAGAGGAAAAGCACGCACGCTGGGGTTGCAAAGAGGACAGAGGTAGGGGAGTGTTCCTCACTAGACACAACACACCATACTGCTCCAAAACACACACAGTACATCAGAGTGAGGTGGTAGCCTTCAGAACAAGGAGGAGTTGAAGTGTGGGCCTCCCTCAACCTGTGTGCCACCCAGGGTTTGGGTGTGTAATGGTGTGTAATGGGATTCTTTGAATGGCACTTCCAGTTCAGGGACTTCTCGTTTGGCTCTGGGACGTGGTCATGACTGCGTGTGATATTCCCTTTATGAGGTCTGGTTTTGCTTGCTTTGCATTTTGTGGCCAAACTCATTTGTCAGCCCTGTCCTCCAGTTATAGGTGATTATAGTCTTAAAACACAAAAACATCTAAACCTTTCTCCTATTTGTCTTGGGTGCTAATAATTAGAAATTTCATAATATTCGACTTAATAAAGAGTGAAACGAAGAACTGATCCAGCCTTGCCTGGGGTGTTCACATTTGTGCGTGTTATGAAAACAGGTGCAGAGATGCGTGGACAGCAGGACTACAAACCTTCTAATGTTCCCCAGGGATGGAGGGGCCCAACACAAAGGACCAGTGCCTGAGAAGCAACTACCCACAGGAGCATGGGACTGAGTTCAGGGATGGCAGCTTGGTACCAGGGAGCTAGGCTGTGGCCATCTTCCTACGGAGCTAGCCCAGAGTCTGAGGCCTGGTTTTCCTGCTGCTGCCTTTCTAACTTGATCAGATCACACAGCAAACTTGCCTACAAGCAAGCTTTCCTGTTTTGGCTACCTTTCATGAGGTGTTTTAGCAACTTCAGGTATCCATCCTTGAAGCAGAAACGGAACCACTTAATGTTCCCCCTGAAGTTGCCACATGAGGGTCAAGACACTGCCAGCAGTCAGCCTTCTGAACTTCCTCTGGCTGGTGAGCCCCTGGCCCCTGCCTCCATGGCAGCTTCTCTGCTAATCCCTGACAGGTTGGTTCTGATTGCTGCAGCCATTAGCACTGCCTGTGTTGGCCCAGTGCTTATACCATATAAGGTGGAGATTGGAGACCTTGGGAAGAAGTTTGGAAGTGCTGTACCTTGCCCACCCTCCCACCCCCCAGTTCTTTCTGCAGTGCTCTTAAGAGGGACAGCACAGCCAGTGTGAGACTTCTCTCCACCATGGGCATGTCTCATTCTGTACTTGACAAGAGTTTGCTGCCAGGTGACTTGGTGGCGGGAAAGGTGAAAGGTATCTTACAAGTTTGGCACACAAAGGCTGCACAGATGTAGAGAGGATCTGGAAAGAAGATGTGTGCTAACATCAGGGCTTGGGAGGGAGATGACTAAGAGACCAGGGAGGGTGAAAGTAAGCTGGACTTGGAGCAGGTAGCGGGGACTAGGCAATAGCCTCCCTCCTAGACACTGGCCCTCAAGCAAAGCACTCAGGACCCCAGGCATTGAAGAGAACACAGGCCAGGTGCTGGAAACATGGCATATCACATCATTGCCCTCATGAAGTTTTGATCAAGACAGCTGGCTTCTGCTGAAGTACCTATCAAATGGGCAAGAGAAGCACGTGAGACTGTAAGAAGCAGACCAGACAAGGAGCTGGAAGGGGATAAATTCAACTGTTCTGGCCTTTGAATTCTAGCAACTGTCACTCAGAAGTCACTTAGTTGCCTACACAGGCCTGAGACCGTGATTTCCCCAGAAGAACACATGGTAGAGACACATGGCAAAAGGCAAGGCAGATGGTCGAGAAGGAGCCACGATGCCCAGAGAAGCTGGCGCCTCCGCTGCTGCAAGAGGTCCAGAGGCTGGTTTCTCAGCAGCCCTGGTGCCCTGCTGTCTGGGACAAGATGAGGGATACAGATAGGGACATCCTGGGAGGCTGGCACAGGATGGGAGTTGAGCTTTGGTGAGTTATTGCTTTCTCTCACTTCTTGCTGCCTTTAAGGGACTAGAGGCCACGTGGACTTGCCTGTGAGCAACCTGCACTCCTGCCCAGGGCCCTTTTGTGCTGAGTGAGTGACAGGCAGGAAGCCATTGAGGAAGACATGAGGTGGACCGCCTCCGGGTGCTGTGGGCACTGTTGTGATGTCAGAGTGACAGCCATCCAAGTTGGAGCTCTCTGTGGTGTGTGCTGGAGATGTGGGTGGCGGCCATGTGCGGGAGAGCAAGGCTCCCTCCAGGGATTTGCCTTAGTTGTCTATTTCGGTTATTTTCCTGTTGTTTGGAGTTCTGAAAGTAACCACATTTTCAAGTAGTGCTGGCAACAGAGCTGACTGGGGAGGAGGGACCTTTGCTGCTGGAACTCAGTCTGGGAAAGTGTCTTAGTAGACACAAACGTCTCAGACCTCAACACAATAGCTACTGTGAACTCAACTAAGCAAACCCAGTGTCAGGAAACTGGTGCTTTCTCATCTTGTAGGATTTCTGGTGACGTATGGAAGTTTCCCCACAAAAAACTTCCAGATCAAGTACAAAAGGATGATCCTGAAGGAAAGGAAGATTAAGCTGGCTCTTAATGACACTTGGGGCTGCTTTCCCAAAACATGGGATGGAAACTACCTTACAAACAGAAAGGAAATAACACAACTGTAAAATATACAGACTATAGAAAAAAACCCAATTCATGTACATTTTCCTCTGTCTAAAATGTAGTCCCAAGAATGCTCCGCTTTGAGAGCCAAAGCTGTCCGCCGCAGTGAGCCTGGAGGTAGGGGTCCTGGCCTACAGATGACCTCTGTCTCCTTGACTGGAGAAGGAGATTGAGTCTGGCCTCCAGGGAGGGGACTGGCCACTGCATTGGTCACTTACAGGGACTTCCTCTGAGTGGCCCTGCCTCGCTCCTGAAGAAGGTTCCACTTCATGATCAGCGAGAGGGAAGGGAATAAAGTGCTTCTCGTAAAAATGACCAAAATAAATACAAACATTTAATGGCAGAAAAGAAAAGTCTTCAAAGGGTTATTTCCCAAACACCCTGATTTCTCAGATCTGTTCCTTGGATGTCTGGAAAGACAGAATTCCCCACACCAGTAGTAAGTCTCACGATTGAGTGGAGTCAGCAGCAGAGTTGGACTTCCTCCCACAGGTATGTATCTTCTCTCTGGTCTACAAATCTGTGTGCAAACTCTCCCCAGCCCTTCAAGCCCCAGGGGACTGGTGGAATGGTGGTGTGGCCCAGCAAGCTACATGGACTTCATGCCATTGGCAGTGGCCCCCTCTGACAGCCCATCACCCACTGCAGCCACGTCGTGCAAGCCCGAGTAGTCCTTGAGCTCCGCGTTGGTGAGCAGCAGTGGCTGCTCACCCTTCTTGTGTGGCAGCAATGGCTGCCTCGTGTAGTGTTCCCCGTTGGCGATGTTCTCGGGCAGGTTCTGGTCCCTGCTCTCGGGCAACAGGAGGATGCAAATGATGCAGATGAGCGTGCAGCAGGCGAAGATGATGTGGTGCAGGAAGTAGCCTTTCTGGTTGTGCAGCTCAATAATGGGTGCTGTCAGCATACCGAAGCCTGCACTGGCCAGCACCAGCCCCAGCCCGCCACACCTGCATGGGGAGAAGGAACACGGGCTTGAAAGAAGCATAGAGTGTTTGATACAAGTAGGGTGGAGTAGGACAGCAGGTTGATGGGCTAATTAGGGCAAGCTCATGGCACCGCTCTGGTGGAGAGATGTCCCACAAAATTCCAGTATTAGAAACCTCTTCGTTAAACTCAAGAGCTGGTGGAGTTCAGACACAGGCAGCCTTTGGGAATGATGGATATTAAATGCAGGCAAGAGGTTGGGGCCCCAGTGATGATAATTTTATAAGGCCTTTCTAAGGAGAGGAGAAGCCTGGGCTAGCATAATTGCTGTGTCACCGTGTGTTGCCCTGCACTACCTTGGGATTCTGCAGTCTCCATTATCAGATCCATGTATAACCCCCTGTGTCGGACCTCTCAGCCTCCAGAACCATAGCTGAACAAACTAGATTCTTTATAAATTGTCAGTTACTACAACAGAAAACGGATTCTGTCTCTGTACTGGGTCCTGCTCTGGTTGGTACCACCCATAGGTGTGACATCCCAAGCCACCTTCACCTTAACTGTATCTGGATTCCTACAACTTTGAAGTCAGATAGGCCAAACCTTTGGTGGGAATTAATTATCTCTATTCCTTTGGTGAGTAAGGAACCCTCAAGAGTCCCAGGGAGACTATTGGACAGGCAACACTTTAAGACATCCTCTTTCATTGCTCTAACTTCTCCACTTTGACCTAAAAATGTTCCTGAGACTAAAGATGCGCTGTAAACGTGGTACAATGTTGGAGTGACATCGTAGTGCCCAGGTAATAGGACAGAAAACTGCCTGGTCCCCAGCCCCCCAGGCCCAGGGGGCAGGCAGAGGTGGTCTTATCTCCAGCAGGAGGAATACTGTTGCCTTCCCACCCTCAAGAACAGCAGAGAGGATGTACAGTGACGTGGACATGAGCATGGACCTTTCTGCAGCAGCAAAGGGACCTTGTTCTCAAACATGGACTGGCAAAGGCTGAAGGGGAAGTGCCTGCTGCAGCTGGGAGGCAGCTCTTGAACAATTTATGGTTTTCTTACTTGGTACTATGAAGCATGAACTCACAGAGGTAACAAAATCGATTTATTAAGGGGTGCTATGGAGAGACAAAACTCACGAATACAGAGCAAAACAGAAATCGTTACTGATCCCACCTCTCTGTCCCTTGGGGTCTGACCACACCAAGCATGAGCCAGAGCAAGAGAGAATGAGTGCATTCTTCTCCGACCTATCCATTGTGGCACCCCCTGGCCATGCCCTAAGGCCAGTACCCCAAAACTATTGGCAGAATGAATTCCAACAACAGTACTGCAGGTGGTGGCTCCCAAGTCAAAAAGACTACTCTACAAAGTACTAAGATACAAGGTCGACACATGTCTATATACACGTTCAGAAATTAAATTAAAATGTTTTCAAGAAAGCAAATGCAGACCAATCCTGGGATGATGTATGACACCTGACTTGGTCCTCTCTCCTCCTCCCAGGCACAATGCACATGGCGCCTGGCTCCTGTTGGCTTCCTTGGGACTCCCCTGTGAGCTCTGTGGAATCCAGGCTAAGCAAGCTGCAGAGCTGCTCCTGGCCTCCTGGAGTCCTCCCTCTCAGGAGACTATATCCTTATGGTACATGTGTCCATGTTTCTGCACTTGAGAGGTGTTCAAGGACAAGACCAAATCTTGCTTAATCTGTAGTCCTAGTATTCTCTCAGTACCTGTGTAAGACCTGGCCAGCTGGCCTTCAGGCATTTCTGGACATTGTGTCAGATTCCTAAGAAGATGATTCCAATTTCCCCATATTCTTAACCTTTGCCTTCCTTATGAAGGGGCTGGAAGAAATATGTAATTTCTTGCCAACAAAGCACTGCAAAACCAATGAGGTATCCCACAAACGGGTACACAGACTCTGGCTATGATGAGCAAGGTGCTGTGTTGTTGGAAAACACACAGGAAATGAGATGGCCTCCAGTTGATGGTATGCAACCCCTGAAGAACTGAATCCTACCAATGACTGCTGAGCCTGCTATCTCAGGGGACCGCAGCTCATGGAGCTTAGAACGAGGATCCAGCTAAACATTGCACTGAGCTATAGATATGATCACAGGCCATAACACTGAGTCATCAGTACAGATAAGTACTGTAGTGGGAATGCCCAGCCTTAGTTAGCTATAGAAGCTCTCATCCAGGCTGTCATGTCTTCAGTTCTTTGTATTACACAGTTGTTTAATGCAGGGGCACTGAAAGAGACACAGAGAAAGTCATACTGCTGGCCTGGCAAGGGGTGCACCGAAGAGGGACACATTTTTTTTTCTTTCCCATCAGTGCCCTAGATCAACTTTTAAAGACACTGGCATCTTTCTGTCAATGTTTGCTCATAAGCCTAATTGCCTTTGCTCCTCCATGAACCCTTCAAGGGCAGTGATTATTTCCTGGAACATTAGCTGTCTCACAGTTTGCATGTAATAAATATGAGATGCCCATGGCTCATGGTTCCTAGAGAGCAATGAGACTGAGTCCATCTATCAGGTGAATAATGTGAGTACCTCAATAGCCATTCAGAAATTTTGGTAAATCCTGGCCCCCTTGGGAAGCCACAGGATGTGAGGGGTGTGTCAGATGTCAGGGACCTGTTTGATTGGGACCTTTCACATCAGTAAAGTTTTTTTTTTCCTCTGGAGTTTGCCTTCTCAGCTGGCACCAAGTGTGGCTGGTGCCCTTGCCTGTGTAGAGTTGCCATGAAGGGAAGCAGAATACAGCCCCCCATGTAGGGAGTGTGTGAAGCTGCTCAACTCCAGGGAAGTCTCACGTGACACCAAGTGAACAATATCAAAGTAAATTACAATATTAATAAATCATGTTGGGTAAAACATATTTGATTTATAGCTCATTTAGATGTAGATACATATATATGACACTCAGTATGTTCATATACAGGGGTAATACAGAACGAACTGTGATGCCTAACATTCTATCTAGCGAGGGGAAGACTGCATATATGGTAGTAGTTTCACAGGATTAGAGTGAGAGGGAACACTTGTATCCCTGTGGATATCATAGCTGCTGCTGTAACAGCTATCATGGCACAACCCATTCCTACATGATTGTAGCATTGTGGGTGTAGGCAGGCCTACTGCACTATCAATCACATTAAAGGACAGCACATAGAATGATATGGAATACCTAATACTCTAGGATGGTAAATTATTCTGTTGTGGGTATGTGTTACATACTATTATAAAGCATTTCCACTTTTAAAAAAAGTTTGCCCCATGTGATAGCATGCCCTGTAATCCCAGTGCTCTGGAGGCCAAGGCATGAGTGAGTTCAAGGCCAGCCTGGGCTACACAGCGAGAGCTTAGGCACTATACCATCAGCACCTCAGGTTTCATTTACTGCCTCATCATTCACCAAGAGGCCACATAGTAAACAGCATTAAGCATCTAGGTGTGCATAAGTTACTCTAGGATGTCTGCATGGTGATGGCATCAGATAGTGTGTCTTATTGCTCCCCACATGCCCTGTTGTTAAGCAATGTTTGAAACAGTTGTATGTCTTCATTTTTTTTAAATATGAAAATACTTTTCTGTCTCACTATCAGTGATAACTTGAATTTAATAATATTACAGATAGTTCTGTAAGAAAACGATATGCCGATTTGTTTGTTTGTCTTTTGAAGCCTCTAGGGATCTTTACATGCTTGGCTTTTAAGTTCATTTCCCTCCAAAAGTCTGGGCGGTCATAGGCATGCGCAGATGCTCTGGGTGTTCACTAGAGGGCAGTCTAAGCCCATGTTTATACACCAGTGAGGCTTCTACAGAGACAAAAGAGACCGGTGTTTCTTAGAAGAATAAAGCTTTAACAGTCCACCAGTTAGCTTTACTTGGGGTAATGACCTCTAAACAGCCATAGCCTACAGGCAGACTTACTAGAGGGAGCAGAGTGTGGGTCACAAATAAATGTGAACCACCAACATGAACACTCCCACCCCATTTTTACTTCCTTTTACATGTCTTCGTTTTTTCTTGACTACACTTCTGTGAAGTTGAGGATGCACAAATATTGCACTCATTTGCTCATGAAAAATGAACTGCTAGAATTATCCAGGAATGAACAGTCACACAAATTGCTGAGTACAGTTTTCACTTGGTATCTGTAGGGGGCTGTTTTCATGATCCCCAGGTTTTCAGATGCTTTAGTCCCTCTTAGAAAATGCTGTCATAGTGCATGGAACCTACAGATTTTTTATATTCTTTACACCATCTACCATTATTCATAATACGGAACACAATGCAAATGCAGTATAAATAGGTGTTTGCTGTATTTAGGGGGTACTGATAAGGGCTGTACATGTCCAATAGTCATGGTTTATTGAGTGTGGCTGTCAGAGATTGAACCCAGGGTTGTACATGCTCAGCACATGCTTCACCATTGAGCTACACACAGGTGCATCATTTCCTTAAACAAATGCTGTCCGTTTGTAGTTGGCTGTACCTTTGTGTAAGTCATGGGGATGGGCAGCAAATCTGTATCTCTCTGTGATGCCTTGTCTTGAGGCAACATCAGGGCAGAAAACAGACATGGTGACCTTGCCCAGAGGGAAGCATCTCAAGACCAATCTGATGCAAATGATCTGTACCAGAGTAGCAGGTAAGCAGTAGTTAGTGGATAGAAAAGCAAGGATAGTGCATGGGTCAAGGATGGAAAGCCCATGACCAGGGCTCCATGGATTGGTGAGGAATTATGCAGACTGTCAGATTGAAGGGTCACCTGCCCATTCTCATCCCTTGTCCTGTTGTAGAGGAAGGAAGCCACTGAAAGCTGCAGGAGCTCCTATCTTCAGCTTCCAGATAACAGTGGGAAGAAAACGACTCACCATAGTAAAAGCCACTGGTTATTTCTAGATCATGCTTGAATGCTCAAGTTACTTCTGCCCCAGACAGAGAGACTAGGGAGGAAGGATGGAAACCTGTCTTTCCTAGCCCATCAGAAGCTGCTGCCTCGCTAGTGGTAAACACAGTGGACTGAGAAGAAGTGGCTTCCCGTCCAAAGAAGACTTGATGAGACAAGGTTCACTCTAGTCTCTACTGGCCACAGGGCAATAGATTATCACAAGTCTGTGTAGAAAACATATCCTTGTATAGGTCCAGTCTCTTGTTTCTGGCATCTTAGCCTTTGCTGTTTGTGCTGACTAATTTTATGTCAACTTGATACAAGCTAGAGTCACGTGAGAGGAGGGAACCCCAATTGAATAAATATCCCCATAAGATTCAACTGTAGACAAGCCTGTAGGGCATTTTCTTAATTTGTGACTGATGGAAGAGGGCCCATTGTGGATGGTGCCATCCCTGGACTGGTGGTCCTGGATTGTATAAGAAAGAAGACTGAGTAAGCTATGGGGAGCGAGCCAGTAAGCAGCACCCTCCATGCCTCTGCATTGATGGCTCCTGCCCTGTTTGAGCTCCTGTCCCGACTTCCTCTCATGATGAACAATAATGTGGAAGTATAAGCAAAGTAAATCCTTTGCTCCCCAACTTGCTTTTGGTAATAGTACTTAGTCACACCACGGCAAGAGTAGCCCTATCTCAGACACTGCTGTTCTTACTTCACAAGGTTTCTTCTCAACAGTGTTATGGGGAAATGCAAGACTGTCATAAGAAAGAGAAGCTCATGGACCCCACCCTCAAATATCTTGGGTTTTTCTGTGTGGAGTGGGTGTTAGTATTCAGGCATCTGTACTGACCTGCCCTTAGGGTTCTGACAGGATACGCCCTCAGCTGCAGCCACTAAGAGCACCACCTGTACATATGCACCAAGTTCCCCTTTAAAGGGCCCCACCCACCTCCCATCCTTCTCTCTCTCTCTCTCTCTCTCTCTCTCTCTCTCTCTCTCTCTCTCTCTCTCTCTGTCTCCTCTCTCTCACCCTCTTTCCTCTCTTCTACTGCTCCTGTCTCCAGAGGCTGGACTCCTCCCTCCCCTTTCCCTAATAAAAAACCCCTCTGCTTGAACCCTGTTGCATGATGTCTTTTAAATTTTCTTAAATCACAACAGTGGGTGGTATGGAAGTTGCACGTTTACCTGGTGGCTCTCATGGGAATTCTTCATTTGTGTATTTGCAAGGAAAAGCAAAAAAAAAAAAAAAAAAAAAAAAAACACTGGTGGAAAAAGTTCCCAGACTTTTCCAGCCTGGCCTAGGGACTCAGTTTCCTTTTGCCCTCTGCAGGTACAAAAAACATCACCCAGGGCCAAATGTTTTTCTGGTTTGTCATCTTGGCAAGCTGAACTTTATTTCTACCCCCAAATAATTTTTCCAGATTTGTCTCAAAGAGGAAAAGGATACCACATTTCTTTCAGTCTAGCTTGCTAAGCAAACTGACAAGGAGGCCAGAGTTAAGGGGTGCCCTCCCCAGACAAATACAGAGAGTCATGCAATGGCTGCCAGTGGCTACCAGAAGCGAGGGACTAGTGGAGACTTGTGCTCTATCTGGGAGATTATCTTTCTGGATTCTTTTACAAAGGAGGCAATTTAACTAGGTGGGGGAAAGAGTAAGTTGCCTTCAGTGTTTCACAACTGCGAGTTTCATCTGCCTTTGGCTCGTGCAGAAGGCAGGGAACTAGAGGGCTTACTAGCCACCTAATTGCTTTTCCTTAAATATACAATGACTAGGTGTTTTATTACAGGACCCAACAGCCAGCAGCCTTGGCTTGTATTGTAAAAATCCAAGAGAGTGAGTCAAAATGAGGTCATGAGAAAATTGTGTTGTCAGCGAGAAGGTAAGTCCACAGCCCTGTCTACCTGCTTCCCGAGCCCTCCCAGCACCAGAGGGCCTGAAATAATTAATCTCTCCAAGTCCCATCTGAACAGGAATGCCTGCTCGTTCTTCTGAAGGGTGTCACCAAGCTGACTTCTGGGTTTCAGCTCACAGCTGAATAACAACTGCCCCCTCATAATTCCAAAAAAGCATGTGCATTAGAAATGCTAATGCAATTCCAATAAGGAGCTCAGTGTGATACAAAGCAAGCCTTGCAGTATAGAACAAGTGGCAAGTGCAGGTGGGGTCTCCTACTTAAAATGCTTTTGGATTTTGCACCTTTGAATTTGGCAATTGCATACACATCATGAGATATCTTGGAGTGAGGATCTAAACATAGATTTGTTTATGTCTCCTATATGCTTTGTGGAGCTCAAGGGTCATCTTATGTACTATTTTAAACAATTTTGTCCATGAAACAAAATTTTATGGACAAATGTTGTTTGTTTGTCCCATTGACAATTTTTGTTTTGTTTTTGCTGTCATGTCAAAACAAACAATGTTGGGGCTGGGAGTGTTTTAGATGTCAGGGCTTCAGTAATGTTCACACTGTTAGGAGAAGGTGTCTGGTAGAGGGGGCTCATTAGGTGATTCTCTTTCAAATATCCCGATTTTCATTATACTACAGTCCCAGTGGGATCAAATGCACCACTGCCCAGGGATAGTAATCTGACTTTACAAACAAACACTTAGGACCTCTTAGGACACTATAAGGGAAAGACAAACTTTTCCCAGGCCTGGGGCTTCATGGCCTTATTTACCTACCTAGTGTGATGCTGGCCAAGTATTAGGCTCTTGATTTCTTTCTTAATTAAGTCATTGATATAATTTTGGATTAGTGTTTAGGTTCTCAGGCCAGGAAGGAAAAAAAAAAAAAAGTTCTATCTAACCATTTGTTCATACATGTGGTCTAGGCTGACCTTGGACTTCTCTGATCCTTTGGCTTCCTCCTCCTAAGTGCTGGGATTGCAGGCATGCACTACAGCCATATTACAGGGTGCTGGGGATTGAACCCAGGGCTTTGTTCATGCTAGGCAAACAACTCAACTACATCCCAAGCCATCATCTTTTTGCTGAGATGGGGTCTTGCTGTGTTGACCATGCTGGCCTAGAAGTCTCTACCCTCCTGCTTCAGCCTCCTGAGAATTCAGAATTACAGGTGGGATGTACCTAGCTTCTTCTTTTTTTTGTCTGAAATAGCTTTGTCCTGAGGCTCTCAGTGGACAGTGCTGACTTTTACCACAGTCCAGTGAGAGTGATTTACTTACTGCTCCCTTTCTATTCTTTGCCTGTACCTTAAACAGTTCCTTGTCTCCCATGGTAACTGTTGTGATGGGACCTAGGGTTGGGTTCCCACCTGACCCTGAGAGTCAGGGTGAAGCAGATCATAAGGCAGTGAGTCAGGCAGGCAACATGCCCTGCACGCCACCACACCCTGGTCCAGAGGCCTAGGTGGGGCAGAACTCATGACAGTTTCTTACACACCAGCCTCTCTAGACGTGGACCAATCTTGAGTTCTGAAAAGAAAGTCCCACATTATCCCATCACCCACCTTATCACTGTGGGGGTGATCTCTGCACAGAAGAATACGCTGAGGCTCCCCACGGCATGAGATGCAAACATGCCCACAATCGAAAATGCGATGGAGAACTTGTCCTTGACGCTGTCACTCATCCCTGGATAAGAATCCAAAGAAGGGGACCATGAGGAAGGAGAGAAGGGAAGAGAACAGAAGCCAGACAAGGGGTAAACTGGGGCAAGGATTGGTGAAGGGAAGCCTGGGATAGCCCAGGAGCTCCCTCCTCCCCAATGCCCAGTCTGAGGTACAGTTGAACATGCAGTGGCTTTTGGGTGGGCAGTCCTCTAGGCTGAGGGACCTGCAGCCCTTTGAACATTCTGCTGCTGGCTTTTGTCAGTATCTTGGGCACCAAGCATGCTGAGCTCACAGTGGGCCTGTAGAATTCCTCATCCAGAGGCTGTGCCAGGCAGGAAGCAAGCTGGGGGGTGCAGGGTCCTGATGCCTCAGTGGCATACCATCCTCCCTGGATTCCGGACTGCAATCTCAGGGTTGACCCACCCAATCCAGAGTCAATGTTGATTTAAAAGTACAAAACCACACGGGACCAAATGGAATAATTCATGAGCCCAGGGGAGGGAAAGCACTTAGTAATCCCTGTGCCTGGAGGTGGCACTGGACCCTGGCTGGCATGGGACAGCACTGCACACAGTGTTTTGGCATGCACTGAGGGGCTCAGTTTCCCTCCGGGTTGCATGGAAGGCAAGCGCTCTCATGTGCTTTGTTGGGCCAGGCAGGTGCGATAGCAGCATGCGGTATGGAGCAGCACCTCTGCTGTTCCCTAGTTGGAGAGCAGCAAGCTTGCATGAGTCATGAAGAGATACTGGCTCTCCTTATAGCACAGCCAACCAAGCCCCAACCCTTTCGCCTTCTCATCCTGATTAGCTGCTGGCCAAGGACAAACAGCACCAGTGCTGGATCAGGGGCCTGGGAGGGCATGCATGCCAAGCTGCACAAAACCAGGGAAACACGAGTTGCTTTCTCTAGTGCAAGATGGGGATAGAGAATACAAATGTATGCTTATAGTGTCCAACCTACGGCCAACTTCAGCTGCAATTCTTGAAGGGCAAAGACCAGAAGAAAGGGAGGAAACGAAAGCCAGTTGGTGAGTCTTTGTGGTGACTGTTTTTGTGGATGTAATAAAAGACAAGGCAGCAGAAATGTTAAGGACTCACCTGAGTCTGGATGCTGGCTGTATTTGCCGATCACTGGAACCATGGAATGGGTGCGCCCACATGCACAGGGTAATGGGAGTGGGAAGAGACGAGAAGGCTTGTTAGGCATGGGACAACTGCCGAGTGCTCCCACGTGACTTGTTTCTAAGTGAACTTCCTTTTAAGTCTGAGTTGGTGCTGGCTGCCTGCGCAGTGGAATTCACACTGGACTAAACAAAGACCTTTTTGTGTGAAGAGAGGGCTATGGCTTGTTGGCTACAGAGTCTGGGAGACAACGCAGTCTGAGAGAGGACCCAAGCGGATCTAAAGGCAACATCTTTGCATAGAAAGTTATTCAATGGGGTACTGGGCACTGGGAGCAGGCTTGTCAGGACACATTTCTGCTTCCCCAAAGCCTTTTTCTCACAGCTACTTGTCCTTTGCCCAGAGTTCCTGTGGCATTCCTGTTCACTGCCAAATAGGGCACATGGGATACTCAGGAGGCCATCCTTCCACATCTGCCCTAACTGGGTGGAGTTGGACAGAGCCTTCCTGGAAGGGCAGCCAGGTAGTATCCACCCAGGGAGGCAGGGAGAATGGCTACCGCTTGTTCACTCTGGTTATTGCCCAGCAAGGTATAGAACTCATGAGAACATGCCTAAGTGGGTCCTCATGGGAGGAAATTCATGCCCTTGGAGGCATGCCCTTAAAGAGGGCATTAGTACCATAGATGCCTTTCTTTTGCTGTTTCTACATATCACAATGTGAGTAGATTTCTCTGCCATACACTCCTATCATGGTGTGTTGTCTTACTACAGGCCCAGATGGGTCAACAAACCATGGGCTACTTTAAAACTCCAAATCTATAAGCCAAACAAATTTCCCCCTCTTTAAGCTGATTATCTCAAGTATTTTGTTACAGAAACAGGAAGCTGCCATGCCTTCCAAGTGTTCTGATAGTATGCCAGCCCCCTTTCCCAGCATCCTTCCCCTGTCCCCCTTGACTAGCCTACTCACAGTTGAGGAGCCCGAGCTGCAGAAGTGAGGCCAGGGCAGTAAGGATCATGAAGAGCAGCAGCCCTCCCCTGCGCCCGAGGAACCTGACTACCACACACATGGCCAGGCAGGATGCCAGTGCGATGCTGGCCATGGTGTAGTAGTCAGCGTAGAAGTTCTCCAGGAGCGGCACCTTCACCTCGTGGCCCATCATGCTTCTTGCAAAGCAGTGGTGGATTCCGTACCCTGTCAGCCTGCAGGAGACATGCACATACTGAGAGGGTGGGCAGCGTGTGTTGAGATGAGGGGATGCCCAAGAGACAGAGAAGCATTTTACGTGTGACAGGAGACCATGCCGTCACTATATGTGGACCCACGCGGGAGTTAAATTCAAAGAGACATCCAAGATATATCCATGAGGTCCTTTGTTCACCCAGGTGTAGGACAAAGCACCTTCTGCATGCTAACTTACTCTCATGTCAGCACAAGAACACAGTCATATCTACTTGGCAGACCAGCAGACAGTATGGGGTAAATCTTGGCTGGTGCTAGAGCTGGCAACAAGGGGCAGCCTAAGGACTCTGGGTCTGACCTGTATGTGGCCTGGCTGGATTAGCACTGTAGGATCTGACTGGGATTGGATCTTTGCTCTTCTATTGATGGGTCATGACACCTTTTGTACCTCAAAAGAGAACTGGGTCCCTCAGTTCATGGCGCTGTTCTAACAGGAAAGCTGAAAAGAACGGGAGGCTGTGGCCCTAGCTGCTCTCCATGAAGACAGCCTTGAGCTCTTACACACATGCACACACACATAAATACATGCACATACACAGTCACACACTAACATATACATGCACACACTCTCATATAGACATTCACACACATTCATATATACATACATACACACACACACACACTCATATATACATGCACACACATACACACATACTCATATATACATATATTCATACAACACACACTCATACACATGCACATATACACTCACACACTAATATATACATGCACATACAACACTCACACACATACACACACAGACATACTCATATATACATGCACACACATACTCACACACTAATAATATACATGCACACACACATGTGCGTGCACACACACACACACACACACACACACACACACAGGTCTAAATCCTTCTTCCCAGATGACCTCTAATGCTTGCTGGCTGAGAGTTAATCTCCCAGATGATCTCCACTCTAACCAAAGGTCCACTTTGTAGAGTCAGGGAGGATGAGGTTATGGAGCTGTGAGGTAAGACCGGAAGGAACTTCCAGGTACACACCTGGCCCTGGAACCGGGTTGGCTATAAAATTAAGGGAGCCACAGACCCAGCAGGTAGTAGGTGTCAAGCTGTATGGAGAGGTCACTTGAGAGAGCCTGAGCTTCTCTGCACCAAGCAACATGCCACTGACTGCAGCTGCCCTCTACAGAATAAGGGACTCTGAGCAGGTGGCCTGGTGGCCAGAACTTCATGCAGGAAGAACAGCCCTCTGGAGATGGGGGGTGGGGAGCATCAACCCTTGCCCCTAGTCAGTGCCAAGAACCCCACCTTAGGGCATTCCCTAGAACTGGGGTGAAGGAGACTGTCAGAGTCACTGTCATAAAATGCAGAGGGAGGGCACTGTTCTGAGGACACAGGTGCATGCAGGACCTCACCAGACTTCCTGGCCTTTTTATGCTCAAGGCCCTAGGAGCTCTAGCACCATGCAAAACATGCAAGGGGCAGGTGGCTGGGCTGAGGGCAATGCTCAGTGCTGGCTGCCTAAGGCTTCTTGGTGAAGTGGTAGCTATTGCATTGTCTTCCTTCAAACCTACAGAAGGACAACCCGCCCGGGCATACTTCTGGGGTCTCCTTCATAGAGACATGTTGACGCAGGTGGGTGTGGGGCAGGCTGGGATTCACCTAGGGTGGGAGGAGGGGCCCTCTGGCTCTGACCACATGTGTTTCCCATGACTTACGAGTTCACACATAGAACCACGATATTTTTCCACAGGTTCCGCGTTCCCACCACCTTCACGATGCACACCTTTTTGGGCCTCCGAGACAGTTCTTTCTCTAGCTCTGCAAGAGATAGACCCAGGAGCTTGAGTAGGACCGAAGGTTCCAGACACAGTTACAATACAGCTTTGGATTCCCTATCCAGGACCATCTGAAGAGGAGAAAACCTTTGCCTGTAAGCCAGAGAGGAAGGTCTGGGCTTCCTGGCTGGAAATGTGCTTGGGAGACTTACTTGGCAGACAGGTTTTCCCACCACAACTGAAGGGCATAAAACACACTGCTTACAGAGCCAGGTCACGCATGGACAGACAGACAGGCATGCTCCATTCATCTTGCCTGCCTAAATTAGGTCCTGCACATACCACAGGTGATTTCTTTCTGCTTGAAACTGTAACTACCTATGTCACAGCTCAGAGCCCTGCCAAGCCTGGCACGGGGGGGGAGGGCGGAAGACAGAATGGTTTAGGACTGAAGCTACACGCACTGTCTTTAGAGGATGTGAATCTCTGAAAGACAAAACCATATGTCTGTTTGTACACACACACACACACACACACACACACACACACACACACACACTTGTGCATGCTTCAGTTAACAGTTGAAATTCTTTGGGGAATGGGGTATAGTGCAATGCCACAACATGTGCTTAGGAGGCATGAAGCCCTAGGTTCCATTCCCAGAACTCAAAAAACAAAACAAAGTGTTTGGGAGTGGAACAAGATGGACCATGTGTTAGGCTTAGAGATGTGACAGACTCTGAAGCTATATGACTGGGGCTCTTGTGAGGCTCATTCTAGCCGCAACTGTCTAACAGTGCTTCAATGTAACCCTAACCTAGCTGGGAATTTGCTCACGTCCTGGGGCTGGCCTGGCAATCTGATAGGGTAGACAGAACACAGAAAATGCCTCAAGTGGAATCTGTGTGGTTACTTGAGAGCAGTACTCACACTCAGCCTCCTGGACCCTTCTGCTTTCTGGCTGGCATGTCCTTGTGAAGTCACCCCCATTTGGAAGCAAAAACAGAAAAGATGCTTCCAAGTCCACAAGGAGCCAGTGCCATTAAGAGTTGTCAAGGTCATGAAAACAAAGAAAGAAGGAGGAACTGTCAAGATCAGAGAAGACAGCGTCCAGGTGATGTCAAACTGCACCCTGGACAGGACCCTGGAGCACGAGGGGCCAGTGATAAGAAAGCCAGCACTGAGTGGAGACTGGCATTTAACAACAGTGTGTACTTGTGTCCACTTTCCCAGTTTTGACAAATATATCATGGTAATAGCAGACCTTAGCAACAGGGGAGACTGAGTCAGGAGTATGGACAAGTTCTGCAACTTCTCTGTGTAGGTGAAATAGTTTCAAAATAAGACACTGAAAATTAAAAATATCTGTGGGAATAGGGACAGTGGAAGCCTTCAGGGCCTGGAGGCACATTCTACCCTCTCTGTGTGTCTGGGTTCTGAAGCTTTGGATTTAAAACATCATCATCAAAATAATTTGAAAAATTGTATCTGAACTGAACATGTACACTTCTTTTCTCGTTGCTAGTCCTTAAACAATTCAGTATAATAAACATTTTCACAGCACTGGCCATCATGAATAGTTCAGAGATTATCTAGAGTGTGGGCTCTATGCAAACACTATACCATCACATACATGAAAGTTGGGCTCCAGTGAGTTTTTGGTACCCTGGAGGTTCTGAAACAGCCCCTAGATGTGGAGCAGTGACACATGTTGCCTCCTGCTTCTCCAAAGGCTGCACCTCTCTAGGTGAGCATACCCATCCTGGATGTTTCAACTCCTTCTATTTCATTTTTCACAAACATCTTTCATAACAATTTGAAGGAAAAATAAACTTATTTTAAATAGGGAGCTAGTGGCCCAGGGAGCTATATGGTGGCACAGACCATATCCTGAGAGTTTGAGGCCGGCCTAGTCTACACAGACTGCCAGGCCAGCCAGGTTTATATAGTGGGGCAAAAAGGGCATGCGTTGGGAGGGGAATTTAGACAGTTTTTATTTAACCCATTTTGTTTGTTGTTAAAGATAGGGTTGTACAATGTTGCTCAGACTGGTCCCAAACTCATGGATCAATTGGTTCCCCAGCTTCAAGATTCATAAATTCTTGGGATTATGAGCATGTGCAATCATACCTAGCTCTAAATAAAAAATTTAGGCTTATTGTTGCCCCAACCAGGACACAGAATAGACAGAATAAATCTTTCCTCTGTCTGTAGGAGAATGTGCCAAGTTTTCAGAATATTCTTTGTCTCATTTAGGTATGGGGTGAGAACTTGACCCAGGCCAACAGGCCTGGTATTCTGGCTGCCTGTCCACAGACCCTGTCAGCCCCAGAAGCCTCCTGACCTGCTTTGTCTTAGCTAATTTGACTCATTGTCGCCCTTTCTCTATGACTAAGGAACAATACACTCATTAATCACTTAATGAGTGGGTCAGGGGATACGGTCTGAGAATTAAGTCATCAGGTGATTCTGTCATTGTTTAAATATCACAGAAGGCTCACAGAACCCTGGGTGATACCAGGTGGCTTCTGGGTAGAGTCAGAGATGTGAAAAACAGGAGATGTGTGAGGTTGCTGCCAACCTCATTCAGTATACTGCCTTGTAAGAAACACTTTAAAAAGTATGGAAGCCATTCTAAAAACAGTAAAAGGTATAGTTTAGTGAAGACAAAAGCCACCAGTCTTCTTGTTGTTATGCACTATCTGTCACCGTGTGTCCATCCTTCTAGAGATCTGCCAGTGCAGCCCCTGCACATAAGACCATCACCAGAAGCATGAGGGAATGTACCACACTCTGATGCTTAGAAAATGCTTACACTGAAAAGTCTAGGGACTGTAGTGGTGTGTGTGGGGTCTACTGGTGACAGACTCTTTGCTTCATAGTGCTGGACTGTGTTTGTTAAAGAGCTTGGAAACATGAGTGGTACATAGTCTCAGCTGCAGAGGTCTGGTTCCTTTCACAGTTACAGACACATCAGAAGTCAGCTGTCATGGGCACCCTTTCTCAGCAGTCTTCCAAGATGGAAATCCAAACATCCGTTAGCATGTTTATATGAGTTTAAAGTTGTTTCTTTTCCAAAAGTGAACCATGCACAACTGCTAATATATTATTGTGGATGAAACAGTATGTCAAGGAAGCTATAGCAATTGTATTACGACCTGAGGGTTTGTTTTTTTAAAATAACGTTAAACCCTAGAGCCCAGTCTAAGAATTGACTGTAGTCTACAGTGGTAATTGCATTATTCTAAAGGGAATTAAATTAACTTTTCCAGCACTATTGATGTTTTGTCAGGTTCTCTGTTACTCTTACCACTGGTATCAACAACACCAAACTTCCACAACTTTAAGTGTTTCCTCCTGGGTTGAAGCCCATGTGTTTCAAATCGTAGGAGGTATTAGCTAACTGCTGGGACCCTGTGAGGTCACCGGAAATAAGGAGTTTCTTTCTCTCTAGCCCAAACTTCTTGCATTAGGCAATAAAAGCAAGTAGGTGCCAGACAGCTGATAAGACAGCAGCATCGGGTTGCTTCTCCACAGCTCAGAGCAGACCACCCCAATCTTCTTGGCTCAGTGCTCTCAGAGACTGTCAAACTGAGACACAGGCAGACTTAATGTTGGCATACCAGTTGAATCTATCCCTGCTCCACGTTTACTTGACCCCTGTGGTCAGTGCCTGAGTCTGGGAGCAGTGAGGTATCCCGCCTGGGAAGAAGCTTATCTCTGTGTTGCTTCTAAACCTCCTTGGGAGAGCTGCCCACAGTAATGGAGGTTTCAGCTTCCTAATGCTAACTCCAGTCTGAAAATATTAAACGGGGAATTCCGGAAATGAGAAACTCATAAATTATATTGTCATAATTGATCTAGCTTTGTTACTAGTTGTCATTAAACTCTTTCTGTGCCTAATTTGTAAATTAAATGTTGTTGTAGGTATGCATTTATAGGGAAGACCAAGCCTGTGGAAAGCTGGGCTCTATCCATGGCTTTAGGTACCAATGGAGTACAGTCCTGGTACGTGCTAAGCCCTGAGGATATGACAGATATGCATGCTCTGAGCTGATGCAGGAGCCAGCAAAGAGGTCCTGGTCCCCTCTATATCTTCCTAAAAGTAGCAGAGAGGGAAGGCAATGGAAGTCTACCATGGGCAGCCTCCCTGGGACTGAGAGCTTGGGTACCTTTGGATTGCTTCCCCACAAGGCTGCCCACGGAGGGCTCTCTCTATACAAGAGGTCAAATGATTCCTGCTCCTTGTAGATCACTCTTCCCATGGAGAAGAAAAGGGCCATGCATGTGTCCTCCCTCCACTGGGTGACACTTCATTGAGCAACTTCCCAGGGAGTATACTGGGAGTGGGAACTCACTGTTTCCCAACACTCAGCCTCTCCAGACCCCACTGTCCACCTGTAAAATAGGGAGAGCTGAAACTTCCCTTCCTGTGAGTCTCTAAGGAGGGTGGAATGCGCTCAGATTTCCCTGGTCTCCCAATCTCTGCCTTTTGTCTCTTTGTGAGCCTCAACCATCACTGAAAGCAAGGGGTTAGCAGGACTCTGACACAAGGTTGCTTAGCCTTCCTTTCTTTTCTGTCTTTACTTCCACTGTAAGGGTTCAAAATCTTGAGTCAGGCCTTGGAAGGAGAGCTGTCATACCATGTCACTGTGAGAATGACATTTAGGAACAGGCACAGGTATCTAATTCAGCTTCATACGCCACCACTTAGGCTCAAATAAAAACTGAAGAGAGCTTTAAAAGCATAGAAATGGTAAGTTTTAGGAGATCCGGTTTTCTTTTAGCATCATTCCAACGCTGGCATGCATTAACAGGGCATGAAGCTCCTCCTCATTATGCCATCCCAGCTGAAGGCACTTTTCTGCCCAGAGGCACCCCAAGGGACAGCCCTACATCCTGGTTCCAGAGCTCTGAATTTCTGTATGTCATGAATATTCATGGATGCTACTACTATCCATGGGTCTACTCTGGTGTTGGGGTACAGCCTGGGCTCTGCAGCAGAGGCTCTGTGGGGTAGAGGTAATGTTGTAAAACTCCTGTTTATAGCTAAGACAGGGGTGGGAGTGGGGTGTAGAGTATGAATGCTGACCTGGGCCTGAGAAGCTAGGGGACAGGAGAATGGGTCTGAGAGAATGGGACTTTCCTGAGCTGGGGCCTATCCGAGGAAGAACATGGGACACAGACCAGAGACCTGGGGGAGGTAGAGATTAGGTGGGGTCTGTATATCTACACATGATGACGATGGGGGGGGGGCACTAGAGCAGATGATAATGTGATTGTTTTGTTCCTGGGCTGTTGATGGAGGAAGGGAGGACAGAGTGGCAGGCAGAGCAGTGAGTACACATGAAAAGTAGTTGGGTAAGAGCCCCAAGCTTGATGGGGGACATGAGGCACTGGGAAGATGATTACAAGTGGAGGAACCATTCTGAGCTAAGGAAGTTAGTTAGAGTCCCAGAGAAAACAGTCTCTTCCCCCACATGCTGGGAGTGAGATAGAGAGCCAGGGTGAATTAGCATCCCACAGTGACCATGATAACAATAATACATCCTAGTGAAGGGCGGAACCCTTTCTTCTCTTTGTTAGTCACCAAAGGGGATAAATCACCTTTTACTTGACAGAAGAGTGATAAGCCCCAACCAAATTTCCAAGCAAAGAATGGGGGTAGAGGTAGAGGAGAGCTAATATCACTTTCCAAAATTAGGGACATGAGTCAGTGTAATTAGGATTGAGAAAACGAGCTTTTCCCAGGTAACATTTAACCTGAGAGAAGTGGGGTGTGATGATTTAATTAGAGGGCCAGAGACAAACATGCAGTAGGAGTTGAGGATAGAAGCTTGCAGGAGGCTATGTGATGGTCCAAACCAGGCTGGCCTGGCCCAAGGGGTCCCTTAATAGCATCATTTTCCATATGTCCCCATGGTCACCTTCTCTTTGGCTACACTTCCTGGGTTCAACTCCCACTCGACAACTTAGTAGCAAACTGACTTTTGGCAAGGCCACCCAGCCTCTCATTGCCATGGTTTCCTCATCTGCAAACCAGTAGCACCACAGCATCCCTTGTAAATGGGCTGCTGTGAAGAAACCCGTTCGTGTGCACATCACATGTAGGTTGGATGAGTTGATCTTTGCACATCACTTAGAAGGGGGCTAGCACATGGGAACCATGTATTGTCTCATTACTAACACTGCTCCTGAGAAAGGGGGGGGGTCTCAGGTACTCCTCTGAAGAGCCAGCTCAATACTCTTAAGTAGACCAGTCATGGCTTGTATCCTTCATTCCAGAGAATTCAGAGCTTTTGGTTGGCCTGACTGTGCCTGCCTCAGCTGAAGGACTTGGTAGACCACATCTCATCCAGCATTTGTGTCCTGGGCACGGGTAAAGGTAGGTATGCCTCCTTGTTGGCCCCCCTCTTCTAAATGGGAGTCCAGTAAGGGTGCTTTTAAGCTTTTAAGATCCAGGTTGCTCACACTCTCCTCCCTGTTGGAAAGGGGAACCTGCAGGGTACATTCTCTTGCCTGGCACAGATTCCTGAGCACCTGTGTCTCAAAACCAGGCTTACCTAGTTACTTGGACTATAGCCACTTGTTACTACCCTCTATCCTTCCGCTTTAGTGCTTTATCCCTCCTACTGAGTGTACATGTAAGACCACACCTTATGTATGCATTCCATCTGTGTGAGCTAGTGTCGTGTGCCATCGGACACTTAGTAAATGTCTGTACTCCGAATGAATGAATGGCCATCACATGATTCTAGTCATTGGGAAAGTCTAGTCATAGTCTCTTCTCCCACCCCTCTTTCTCTCTCTCATTATGTGTTACTTTCATATAACAAAGCATTCAGGTTTTCGTGTTAACATGGTGGGTCAAAGCTGTCATTTTCTAAAGGGACTCTTTAGGTCCCTTGCATCAGAGTATCTTCTGGAGCTCACTACAAGCACACATTCCTGGGGCTTCTTTCAGATCTTCTAGGGCAGTATCTTGGCATGTCAGGGAGGATCCAGGAACCTGGCTGTGAAGGACTTCCTGGTGACATTTACAGACTCCCAGCTTGAAAGCCCCACTTAGCTTATGCTGACGCCCTGATTCACAAGAATTCTATGGATCTGAACCACTCTACAAAAATAGTCCGTGTTTCCACTTCTTCCCTTGACCAACAAATAGGTCATGGCCATAAATAGACAATGGCAGCCCTTGGAAGATCATACTCAAGAAGAGAGGTCACTTACACCACTACAGCCTGAGCCAAGGCCTTAAACATAGTAGGCTGTCAGGAAAGGTGGTGCTGGGTGTCACAAAGCCGAACACGCCTGGTAAATACTGAGTGTGTATCCAACTCATACCCAGCTTCTGGTTTTGTTTGGACTCGAAGGAACATGATGAGTGTGTTCAACTTGATTATGAAAGAAACTAGCTCCTAAAGCAGAGACCATTTCCGTTTGTTTTCACTCTCGGACTGTAGCAGCCTCTGCTGCCTTTCCAAACCTTTGCAGACCGTGTGGGCACAGGAGCATAAGCCAAACACTGGCCAGGACAGTTATTCCAGACAGGACCGGTCCTCAGGCACCCTGGCCAGCCGTAGTGTACTCACCTGGCATCACCCCCTTGATGTCACTCTCAGGGCTCACATTGTTCTTCTGTGTGATGTAGAGGATCAGCTTCTTTGCTGCTTCAAACTGCTGGGTGGCCATTAGCCATCGGAGAGACTCAGGAAATATCCTTCAAAGACACAAGGGGAACGCCGGAATGAATGGCTTCCATCCTGTTTCATTACAGCTATGTGTTGTGAGGAAAAGTCAGGATGGGCTCTGGTAAGTTACCGCGATGAACTGACACTTGCCTTGCCAGCTCACAAGAGTCTTTAAGTGAATCTAACAGATGGAAAAACTGGATATTGCTATGATCTGAATGTTGGTTCTTCCATCCCCAAATGGAATGCTATAATTAAATATATTGAAATTATAGGCATTTAAAAATAATCAAAATTAATGTTTACTGGTCTATATTTATTAAAAATTAATTGATATAACAAGGCTTGAATAAATAGAAATACCCAAAAATGCCATCAAGAAAGTGTGGCATTTTAAAATCAGAACTTTTCCTTATAATGAAATAACAGAATAAATGCCAATGTCCATGGTTTAAATTTCATCTTGCTGATATATTTGGATATGTCTTTTCTTAATTTATTGAGACTGTAGTTCATTACCACTCATTTTTCCTCAATATATGGACTTAAAACCTTATAATTTAACACATCACTGTAGCCACATCTTTGTTCGATTCTAGGACCCTATGATTTGTTAATTTTATAGTGCAGGGTTACTTTGTAGATTGTAAAACCTTAAAATATACAATAATGGGGGGGTCAAGGTACCATCATTTATACCCAGTGTTCATGGATACTAACCTCACAACAGGAAATCAAAAGTCATGAATTAATGGTGCTTGAGTAATATCATTTTATTCAAATCAGGCCTGTATCATGCATACAAAGCAGCCATCTTTGTTCACAGAGTTTCCCAGAACAGTGCTAGACCCAGGGTACATCTAAGCCTCAGGAAAGGATTCTTCCTTTTGTCCCAGGCTTCAAAGCCCTAGGCAGAGACCAAACTGCACTCAATAGGCATGGTCTGGTGGCTTCCAAATCGACAAGCCTCTGGGACACTACATTATCTTTAGTTGCCATTCAACATTTAGCTCATGTTTGTCACCCCTAAGGCGGGGTCCCCAGACAACAGAGTCAGCATTAACTAAAGCCATTCTACCTACCCGTCTTTTTGGATCACAAGGCTTGTAGCATAGGCTTGGATTACAGGCATGGCAATCCTTAATGTTTGAAGAAATGGGGGGTGGGCCTCTCATGAGCTCAGCCTCTTGCTGGGCACTAAGTGGTTGCTTTTTCCCTGATGTTAACTGAGCATTGTCACTATAGGTCCACCTGTGCTGAATCCACTCTTGATGTCAAGTCTTATGGAGGGGAAACCTCTGTAAATGTGGTAAATAAGGTAAAGTGCAGTGTAGCACAAATAACAAAAACCCAGAGTCAGATATTTGGTTCAAGCTGAAGATCAGAGAAGCAAAGCAGCCAAGCCACTAGCTCTTACGTCTACTTCAGACCAAAATGGGTGATCCTCTCTCCATGAATCCTCAGAGTACAATGCCTTCCCTGTCTGGAAACTGAATCACACATGAGACCATTTGCTTCTTCCTTTTATACTCTCTAGTGCTGGGATTAAAGGCATGAGCTCTGTTCTTCTTTTGGCTGATTGTGTAGCCCTGGGTGGCCTTGAACTCACAGAGATCTGTCTACCTCTGTCTCCTGAGTCCTGGAATTAAAGGTGTGTGCCATCACTGCCTGGCTCTATGGCTGTGGTTAGCTTTGCATTTTGATCTCCAGTGGCTTTATTAGATCATAAAAAAATATATCACCACAGTGCATAAATACACTCAACAAGTGACATGGACCAGACCCTACATGTCTGACATAGGATGAGACAGGGCCTCTGAGGAAGGCAATGGCTTGGATTTAAAGAAGAGGCAGAGCCCTGCTGGATCTGTGTTAGAAAATAAGCGAGTGCTGGTTCAGCTTAGCATGCTGTGTGCTGTGTGTGAGGACCGGACCCAGAGGGAGGGCGTGGCGGCATGAAACTGTAAGTACTAGATTTCAGGAGGTTTAGCCTGTTCAAGCAGCAGGCTAACTAGGAAATGGGAAGAGATGAGGTAAAAGGGGAGGAGAGGGGAGAGACAAACGAGGAGGAAGGACAAATGGCATGGATACGGAGCTACTGATGGTGGGGCATGTAAGGATCTGCAGCTGCAAGACCAGGGTGAAGGGAAATTAGGACTGCTCTCTCTCAGGGATACAGGCGGGCTCACAACAGCCACATGATTGCCTCCATCAGTAGACAATCATGCAATCCACCTTCCATCATCAGACTGGTGACTGCAGGTGTGGTCCTACCAGTTTCACAGGACAAGCTTCTGATAAGGTAGTGCTGTTTACTCATTTGACAGCTGGGAAAGTTCAGGTTGAGAATATCCATGAGCATTGCTTAGGATACTCAGCCATCAGATGGCAGACTAGATGAATCAAGAGCTCACTTCCTTAACCTCAGACACAGCAAATCAGTATGCCAAACCATCCAGACAGCTGAAGTTGGGAAGTACTGTCCTTATGAGGATTTCTAGAGGTGTAGAGAAAGGGACAGCCCCCGGGTGCATGCACTGAACACTTAGGTTTTAAGATGTATTCAAATGTATGGCAAAGTCATAAAGAATTGAGCTGTGGCTCCTGGGAAGGCCCAGGAACCTGTTTCAGTTTGGATCACATGGTGGGAACTTGATGAAATTTCTCATGATGTGTGTATGATGTAATAATGCTCTAAAGTTTGAAAACTGCCAGGTGTTAGTGGCACACGCCTTTAACCCCAGCACTCGGGAGGAAGAGGCAGGCAGATCTCTGTGAGTTTGTGCCAGCCTTGTCTACAGAGTTAATTCTAGGACAGGCTCCAAAGCAATACAGAGAAACCCTGTCTGGAAAAACAAAAACAAAGCAAAACAAAAAAGTTTGAAAACCTTGATGGAGCTGGGCAGGGAAGCTCACTATTAGAATCCCAGTACTCAGAAGGCTGAGACAGGAGAATTGCTTTGAGTTTAAGGCTATTGGAGCTACCTAGCGAACCCCAGGCAAGCCTGCAATACAGAGTGAGACCCTATCTCAAAAATCTAAAGCAAACCAAACCTGGCTTCAGCTTGGGACCTGGGAGGGACACATCTCTAAAACTCAGAGATACGGAATATTTCAACCAAGAATAACAAAACCACATAAGGCAGATGTCAGTCACATCTGCCCAATATACTGCATGCTTAAAAAGCCATGGACTAGAATAGAAATAAGTAAGAGGATCTCTGATTTGGTGGCATGGGGGTGCATGATCCATTTAATGGAAATAACTCTGGATGGAAGAGCAGTCAGGGCTGACTCAGAGGGGTGAATTCTAGGAGAGGAAGCCCCTGGCCAATGCTGGGCCAGGTTGTGGGGAACAGAGAGGGCCAGCATTCATACACTGGGAAAGGTGGCAGTCTATGATAGGGGTGCAGAGGCACTGCAATGCCTTCTGGTGGGCACAGGGGCCTCACACACAACAGGTGCCCCGATGTATCTCACTCTCTTGACACAGGACCTGGTGATGCTCAGGAGTGGCAAAGTGACCAATTTCAGTACCAGACAGGAGTCTGTTTGGCATGTGCCCATATGGCCAATGACCTTAAACCGTTCTTCCCTGTTCTAGTACTGACATTCTGTTAGGCACCAATATAGGTAGGTCTGGAACTTGGCCTTTAGAATTCTTTCCATAGCATACATGCTTTTGATATTCTTACAAAGCAGGATTAGGGGTGGTAAGATGGCTCAGCAGGTAAAGATGTTAGCCACCAAGAATGAGGACCTGAGTCCTAGCCTTCAGACCTGCATGGTGGAAGGAGAAAACCAGCACACACACAGAGACACAGACACAGACACACACACATGCACACACACACACACACACACACAGACACACACACACACACACACACACACACACACACACACACACACACACACACCCGGCAGGGCAGGTCCTGCTATGGTCACCTGACAAAGACACAGCTCAAACACCATTTGATTCCTTGTGGTTCAGGGCCCTGTGCATTGCTGTCAGACACCTAGTCTCTCTGCTGGTCTTAGAGAGTCATTGTTTATCTTGGTCACTGAGTCTTGCTTCCTGTGGCATCTGGAGCCCTCAGACTTTTGTACCAGACTCCCGTGTTCATTTTGTGATAAAATTTTATATACAAATTTTTAACACAAGACTTTCCCCTCTTGCAAAGATGTCAACTTAGAAAATGGGTTTTAAAAGCACAGAATAAGCCTTAAGGAAAAGCACTTTCTACCCAGTGTTTGTTGTATCTTCCATCAGAATTGTCCTTTCCTATCTGTCCCTTCATGAGTTAATGTTCATGTCCTCATGAACCAGTTTGAATCTGCCCCCTCCCAATTCAGATTGAAAGAAAACTAAAATGCAGTATAATGGAGATGAGGATGAAGAAAGAAGTATGCCATTCAAATGCACCTGCACCTTCTGCCAGTGTCACAGATGGTATCCCTCTCAGGACACTGGGGTAGGGAATAAATAGGACAAAGTCCATGGAAGCCTAAGCCTTACACTGCCCCTTACTGCTGATAATGCCTGCAGCAGGTGTGCAAGCTTCTCTGTGATTAAATTGTATAGCAATTGATTTGAATGATCCGTGATTGTGTTCTATGTTCTATTTTGATTCCTTCCTTCCCTTCTTTCTTTCCTTCTCTCTCTCTCTCTCTCTCTCTCTCTCTCTTTCTTTCTTTTTTCTGGTACTTGGGGCCCTTCCTAACTTGTCACCAGTTATTCATAAGGAATGTGTGCAGATTGACATCTTGCAAATGACTACCTTGTAGCTTTATGTCTTTATTTGATCCAAAGAAGCACCAATGGCTTTACAAGTCTCAAGTCTGAGATGAAATACAGTAACTGGAAAGAATGTAAATAGAATTTGGTGTAGTTTGATGAGAAGGTAATAATCAGAGTAGATCAAAGGGATTTTTAGTTTTAAGAAATTTGCAATAAATGAAATTTTGTTATTTCAATTTTTAGTAATAAATATATACAACTGATTAAAAATTTAAAAATTGGCACATG